AAACAAAAAAAAAAAAAAGGAAAACAAAGCCTAAATCAACACAGATAAATGAACATTTCGTTCCTGAGATTTAGTTAGCTCAGCTTTTATCACTCAGTTCTAGTCTAGATGAGCAATATGCACATCACCTGTGCACTCTGTTTGTGTGCTGCTGGAAGTGTGTGCACAGAAATGGACTGAGCACTGGCATTAGGGTCACTTCCCACCACTGTCCTCGGAAAAGGTTGCCGTGAGCCCAAGTGTTAAAGGAGCTGCTTAGGAGGATTAGGAGCTCTGTGTGTATGAGGAAGATGTGCTTCCCTTATACATTTAATCCCCATATTATGTGTATCTCAAAAAAAAAAAAACCTTTAAGAATTCGGGATAAATGGGTTGGAGAGATAGCTCAGAGGTTAAGTGCATTGGCTGCTCTTCTAGAATCCTGAGTTCAATTCCCACAACCATCTGTAATGAGATCTGGTTTCCTCTTCTGCTGTGCAGTCATACATGCAGACAGATCACTGTGTACTTAATAAATTAATTAATAAATAATAAAAGACTTTTTTTTTTCAAAAAAATTCAGGATAAAGGTCAGGGCAACCAGGGTTACCTAATAGGGAGATACTATCTCATTCTGTGCCCCCCCCACCACCAAAAGAATAAAAAAAGATTAAGTTCAGGAAAAAGAATAAGCATCTCCTAAGATCAGAAAGCTCTGAAGACAGCACCTACACAGCTCATTGAGCACTGAGGAGTCAAGCTGGTAACAAGCTAAAGTCTTCACCCCTACTGGCTAATGTTCACGGTACTTGGAGGTACTCTGCATACACTACCAGGGGAGAAAGGTAAACACTGCCCAGCTACAAACCTTGCGACCTACAACAGAGACTTGCCTGCATGAGATACTGGTGCAATAGTGGCACTAAACTTATGAAGCCAACCAACCAATACCTGATTGGATTTAAGGCCCATTCCATGAGATGGACCCCAGGTTGACACTGCTCAGGTAGCCAATAAACTGAGATAAAATAGGCCAGGGGACTATGGGAAAAAGAAATTCTATTGTTGTATAAAAGAACATAGCAAGAAAAATGACTCCTAAAGACATTCAGCTATGCCCATAAATCAGTGACTTGTTCATCAGAGAAACTCCATTCTGCACCAGATGGAAGCTAACACAGACCTGCAGCCAGTGCTTAATACCAGGCATGACAGAGGCAGAAGAAGAGATCACTTCCAAGAGAGAAAAAACAGCTAGGTATGGCAGTTTTCAAACTTTAGACTGTTAGGGTTGATTTCAACAGATTTGCTGGCTTTCGTCCAGAAGACAGTTAGGAGAGACTCACCCAAGGAACAAAGTGTTGTTGTGGAAAGGCCACTTCTAACCCCAGTTCTTGGCACCTGCCAGCCATAGAACATCCTCTCATGCTGAAAGGCTTACTTTGGTGGTCATGATTTCTTCAATGTTTCTTATCTGAAAGTGTACAGAGAGGGACTGCTATAATCCTCCTTTTATTCGAATGAACAAGTAACACTGAGTCCCTTAACCAAAATATCAATACAGTCAACTTCTCAGTATCTATCGGGGATTTATTCCAAATCTGTAATGTTTGGATGTAACTTGCTCATCTCCTACTATATTCTACAGATCAGATCATCTCTCAGTTACTTGGGATTTTTTTGTTTTTGTTTTTGTTGAGACTGGATTTCACTATACTGTCCTTACTGGCCTAGAATTATTTGTGTAGACTAGCATTATGGTTGGTTTTAGTGCCAATTGTCACAAGTCAAAATCACCTGAAAAGGGAATGTCTCCAGAACTGTTTTGATTGCTTTCATTGATACAAGAAGACCCCCCTAAGTGTGGACCTCACCTTCTGGTCGCAGCCCTGACTAAAAGGCCATAGCAGAAGGAGGATCAATTGCCTTTTGTTCACTAGGTCTTCGCTCTTGCCACCAGGTTTATCTACTTTGTTGTTGCTGGTGATTTCCTTTAAAGACATCAGAACCAGCATTTCCAGGCTTTCATCACAGACAAAGAAGTAGTGGCTCTCCAAGTACCTTTCCGGATTTCAGTACTAGAAGGGACTACTGAGGCTGTCAGTCTTGTAGACTGATCAACCATTGTCCTGTCAGCCTGTCCAGTATTAAACTACAGAGGGATGACTATGACAGCTGAGGCATTACCCTCAAGCACCCAACAACTAGTGGGCTCTCAGCCTCTTAGTGTGTAACTGTTGCCACAATTTTATTTTTTTATTTATTTTTTTTATATTTTTTTATTGAGAATAAGAAAAAAAAAGTTTCTGCCTCCTCCCAGCCTCCCATTTCCCTCCCCTTCCCCCACTCTTCTCCCCCTCTCCCCACTCCTCTCCCCCTCCCTCTCTAATCCAAAGAGCAGTCATGGTTCCCTGCCCTGTGGAAAGTGCAAGGTCCTCCCCCTTCCGTCCATGTCTAGGAAGGTGAACATCCAAACTGGCTAGGCTCCCACCAAGCCGGAACATGAAGTAGGATCAGAACCCCTTGCCATTGACCTTGGCTTCTCATCAGTCCTCATTGTTCGCCATGATCAGAGAGTCCGGTTTTATCCCATGCTTTTTCAGTCACAGTCCAGCTGGCCTTGCTGAGCTCCCAATAGATCAGCCCCCACTGTCTCAGTGGGTGGGTGCACCCCCCGTGGTCCTGACATCCTTGCTCCTGTTCTCCCTCCATCTGCTCCTCATTGGGACCTTGGGAGCTCAGTCCAGTGCTCCAGTGTGGGTCTCTGTCTCTATCTCCATCCATCACCAGATGAAGGTTCTATGGTGATATGAAAGATATTCGTCAGTATTGCTATGGGATAGGGTCATTTCAGGTTCCCTATCCTCAGCTTCCCAAGGGACTAACTGGGGACATCGCCTTGGGCTCCTGGGAGCCACTCTAGGTTCAAGTCTTTTGCCAACCCTAAGGTGGCTCCCTTAACTAAGATATGTGCTTCCCTGCTCCCCTATCCAACCTTCCTTTATCCCAATCTTCCTGTTTCCTCAAGATCCCCCAATCCAGTATTTTGTTGAGGATGTTTGAGTCGATGAGTGAGATTGGCCTGTAATTCTCTTTCTTGGTTGAGTCTTTGTGTGGTTTTGGTATCAGAGTTACTGTAGCTTCATAAAAGGAATTTGGCAATGACTCTTCTGCTTCTATATTGTGAAATACATTAAGGAGTATAGGTATTAGGTCTTCTTGGAAGTTCTGGTAGAATTCCGCATTGAAACCATCAGGTCCTGGGCTTTTTTTGGTAGGGAGGTTTTTGATAACAGCTTCTAGTTCTTCGCGACTAACAGGTCTATTTAGGTTGTTCACCTGGTCCTGGTTTAACTTTGGTATATGGTATTTATCTAAAAACGTGTCCATTTCTTTTACATTTTCCAGTTTTGTGCCATACAGGCCTTTGTAGTAAGATCTAATGATTCTTTGAATTTCCTCTGTGTCTGTGGTTATGTCCCCCTTTTCATTTCTGATCTTATTAATTTGCATATTCACTCTCTGGCGTTTTATTAGTTTGGATAGAGGTTTATCAATCTTGTTGATTTTCTCCAGGAACCAGCTTTTTGTTTCATTGATTCTTTGGATTGTTTTCTGTGTTTCTATTTTGTTGATTTCAGCCCTCAGTTTGATTATTTCCAGTCTTCTACTCCTCCTAGGTGAGTCTGCTTCTTTTTTTTTCTAGAGCTTTCAGGTGGGCTGTTAAGTCTCCAATGTGTGCCTTCTCTGTTTTCTTTAAGTGGGCACTTAGTGCTTGTATGAACTTTCCTCTCAGGACTGCTTTCATAGTGTCCCATAAGTTTGAGTAGGTTGTTTCTTTATTTTCATTGAATTCAAAGAAGACTTTAATTTCTTTCTTTATTTCTTCCTTGATCCCTAGGCCTACTTTAAATCTTACAAGCAATAGAGATCTTGTCTAGACTGTTGAGATTCCAAGAGCATGTCACCACACCCAGATAACATTATTTCTTGTGTGTTCCAGTCACATCTCTGCCCATAAATATAAAATATAAATCCTAAAGCTAAAATGAGTGCAAATAATGCACAGTAGCACTTGTACAATTGGGAAGTCATTAGTCCTTAACACATCCTATAACTGCTACTCTAAGAGCTGATTTTAAATTAAGGGAGAGAATTAAATTTTAGAGATAAATTTTAGACATAAAAGACACTAAATTTTAGAGATAAAAGACACATCAAGGACTAAACCAAAGTCACATTTGGCATTTCATTTGGTTAATAACATAACCTCAAATTTTTAAAAGCATGCATATAAAATAAAACATATATATATGTATGGTAAATATAAAATATAAAATAAAATAAAAATCTCACATATATTTTCATGACCTTCATGAACTTAGATATGCCTGGAGAGCTCAGCTCCTGTAATATATCTATAAACACTTGATATTTAGGCTTCAGCTTCACAAGCTGTGTCTCCACAGCAGGTTGTATCTGTTGCTTGGAGTCCCACCCAACTTAGAGTTGAACTGATAAAGGTCACTCGAGAGACAATAATATCAATATCTTTCATTTGTTTAGCCATTAATGATATATATGTATATATATACACACATGCATATATAAACACACATGTATATGTGTGTACATGTATGTATATGTAAATTGTGGAATCTCATAATATTTAAAGAAAATTATGTGGAATAAAATAAGTAAGGTGTACAGTTTTTCATGCTCTGAATTCACAATATAAGATTTAAAATATTGACATTGTCCATGGGGAAGAAACTTGCCTTATGTTTATTATCAGCCCCTAGGAAGTTTTTACTGCCCACAGCAATGAAAAACTATAAACTCAATGAGCGGACATTCACTGAGATCCTTCATCTCCCTTTCCTCTGCATAAACCACTTAACATCTTAATATCTAACCTCATGAGCACAATGTTCCAACATGTTTGGCCCCTAAGAATAAGATTGGAGGAAATGATAGCATTGAGTCACAGTTCACACCCAACAAAGGAAAGAAACAGTAACCTCCATGGATTGTACAACTCTTTGAAAGGACAGCCAGTGTTTCTTAATCAGGAACAGTGATAAAAATCATAAATTCCATTGCTTCTTTGTTTTCAAAATTGAGTCTGACAAATGAAAAATAACCTTCATTGCTTCCCATGGTTTGGCAAAAGATTAAGCCAAAAAGTAAAAATATTTTCCCAATCAGCAAATGTTCCTACGAACAGATTAGCCAACAATTTCAAGTTCACTTCTTTGAATTATATCTTGCATGCAATCCTATTTTCTAATGACCTTAGTTATCCAGAAATACAACATGTATTTTAATGGGTTAGGTGACCTTAAACGAATCAATGCATCTCAAAGAAAGCCCTCAGGGGACTCTGGTTTATTGCACAGAAGATAATTCTTTCCTGAAAAAAAGAGCAAAGCTTTGTTTGAAATTAAAATTTGGAGATCATAAAAGGAATCGATTGAGCCAAGATGTTCTATGTAATGTATGGTCCATTGGAGGCAAATTAGCATTTGCAGGTTAGTTGAGGAGAAAGATGAAGGGTTGGACAACAGCTTTGTTTCTGACTTATGCAACTTCAGAGTTTGTTAAAAGATGGTATGTGACAATGACTTAAAGGATGGGGCAGGGGAGAGAATATGTTAGTCATGTTTCAGGATATTTTTACAAAACCACAAAATAAGTTCTGAGTTTACTGTAAGTACTGCCAGTTTAAAGCAATGTTCTGGTATGGACTACAGAAAGGCCGTGGAACAGTGTGAGACTAAAAGACTGGGCTTCAAACGGACTGAAGCCATAACAAGGGACATGGCAAGCTCATTTTCATTTTCAATCTCCATGACACATACAGGGTTAGAGTCCCTTTGTGACCTTGCTATTATTCCTAGCAGAAACTTGGAAACTATGTGCCTATGTTCTCTGGTGTGTAGGTATAAACATGTGTGTGCAAGTGACCTTGGAATCCAGAGGCTTCAGACTCCCTGAAGCTGTAGCTAGAGGCACTTGTGAGCCACCTCAGGCCCTCTTTCAAAAGCAGCAAGCGTTCTGAAAAACAACTTCTATGGTTCATACGTGCAAATTGGAAAAGAAACTTCTATGCTTTGTGTGTAAAAATTGGAAAAGCAACCTCTATGCTTCATACGTGCAAATTACTGCCTCCTGCTTTGCTCACTGATTAGACGATGCATCACAAGAGTGCCGCTGAACGGGGTTTGATTTGTTAATCTCCAAACTATTTGTTCTCTTGTTCTCATTCCTGGATGTATTTGCAAAACAAAAAGCAAATGTTGGGAGAACCCACACCTTTGTAAAACAGGATTCTGAGAGTATTCAACATCCCCATTACTACCAATGTAGCTGAGTTATGACAGCGGTCATCTCTGTCACTTTCACTCTTCTTTAAGCACAACACTGCCATCTTCACCAAACTCAAACATATTTCAGTAGAGCTGAAAGCTGCTTGAGATACCCATAGCAGTGACTGCAGAGAAGCACACCCCTTTACCGAGCCTAGGTAATCTAACAATGTTCACTTCGCTGTCTCAGTAAAACTCCTAGGGTCTACAAGCGGAAGGAATGGATCAATACTAACTCCCCCCAGGAAGTGAGCGGTATGTGCCCTGACCGTTTCTCTAGCCCACCACCGCCTCCACAGTCACTAATGTAAGCTGTTCAAATCAAAGCCTGACCAAGTCTGACCATTTCCGGTGACACATAGAAAACAGTGAAGGTTTTTCACCCTCAACACTTCAGTGTCCTGCCCCCTCCCATCTCTGCCAGTACTTAAACCATGCATCTCCTCTTTTTATTTTAGCAGGGCCATAATGAAATACTTAACTTCCTTTCTTTTTGATTTTTTGACACAGAGTTTCTCTGTAGTTTGGGGACCTGTGGTGACACTAGCTTTTGTAGACCAGGATGACCTTGAATTCATAGAGCTCTGCCTGCTTCTGCCTTCCAAGTGCTGGGATTAAAGGCATGCACCACTGCCTTTCTATATTATACTTTCTTAACTGAACTGAGGACATACTTCCTTGGTCACAACTGTTTGGAAAGCTCTAGTGTTCATTGCCCCAGTTCACATATCACAACGCTAGATTCCACCTCATCAGCGACCAAAAGACTTACAAATCAGGTTGAAGAAATGACTTAAGTTTTTTTCTGTGGAAATTCCAGAGTACTGCAGCCATGTCTAGTCCCACTTCCGTCTAGGAATATGAAGCTCCCTATGATTCCTATGCCTACCTGATCGATTGTGATATGCACATGAGAGATGCAAGTAAGAACCTGCTTATGAACATTTAGACCTGGCATATCCCCTAAACATTACTGGCTTCTGGAACAAAAAGTGTGCATAAGAGAAGTGAGAAAATGGTACCACATCTGCACTTCAGTTTGCTGTGTGTGCTGCCTGTACCTTTTAAATTAGCATGCTTCCCTCCCCACAAAAGAGATGACCTTACTTATCTTTGTTTAAAGACTGACAATGTTTGCTAAATAGCTGTCAAATGAAGAGGGAAATAGCTTTTTAAAAGGAGCTTAGTGCTCCCAGAATAAAGTGTGCTTGTTTGTCTGCGTGGATGACTTCACTTAATAAAGATGTGAAAGCCCTCAAACTAAAAAGAAACTGAAGTTAATCTTGGAACCAGGAGGTTTAAGGAACGGGGCTTTCCTTGTGTTCCAATGTGACAGAACAGGTTCATCAACCTTCTCTGTCTGCACAAACACACAAGATCAGATTCTTTGGGCTGAGAATCCAAGCAGCTGGTGTTCCCAAATCTCTCTCAGAATTGCCAAAGAAACAGCCCATTCACCTCAAGTTCGCTTCAGATTTTTCAGCTG